ATATATATATATATATATATATATATATATATATATATATATATATATATATATATATATATATATATATATATATATATATATATATATATTTTATTAAATATGACCGAAAAAGTAAGATTAATAATTCTAACACGAATTTTCTCAATCTTTCGTACATTATGCTTCACTGTTGGAGGTAAATCAAAAATCACTTCTCCAAAATTCATTTTTATTTCTAGTCTGACGCGACACGGGCGCGTTTCGTAAAACTTATTACATTTTCAAAGACTTCACAAATACACAACTGATTAGAACTTGCGTTTCCCTGATTTTATATCTACATTTGAGTGAGGTGGGAAGGGTGATGTGGCATTACATTTGAGTAAGGTGGGAAGGATGATGTGGCATTAGAGGATATTAATAGGGTATTAAAAGTATCAACACAAGACAGAACACGAAACAATGGATATTGAATAGAAGTGTTTGTAGAAAGCCTATTGGTCCATATTTCTTGATGCTTCTATATTGGAGCGGAGTCTTGAGGTGGGTAGAATATAGTTGTGCAATAATTGGCTGTTGATTGCTGGTGTTGACTTCTTGATGTGTAGTGCCTCGCAAACGTCGAGCCGCCTGCTATCGCTGTATCTATCGATGATTTCTGTGTTGTTTACTAGGATTTCTCTGGCGATGGTTTGGTTATGGGAAGAGATTATATGTTCCTTAATGGAGCCCTGTTGTTTATGCATCGTTAAACGCCTAGAAAGAGATGTTGTTGTCTTGCCTATATACTGGGTTTTTTGGAGCTTACAGTCCCCAAGTGGGCATTTGAAGGCATAGACGACGTTAGTCTCTTTTAAAGCGTTCTGTTTCGTGTCTGGAGAGTTTCTCATGAGTAGGCTGGCCGTTTTTCTGGTTTTATAGTAAATCGTCAGTTGTATCCTCTGATTTTTGTCTGTAGGGATAACGTTTCTATTAACAATATCTTTCAGGACCCTTTCCTCTGTTTTATGAGCTGTGGAAAAGAAGTTCCTGTAAAATAGTCTAATAGGGGGTATAGGTGTTGTGTTAGTTGTCTCTTCGGAGGTTGCATGGCTTTTCACTTTCCTTCTTATGATGTCTTCGATGAAACCATTGGAGAAGCCGTTATTGACTAGAACCTGCCTTACCCTACAGAGTTCTTCGTCGACTTGCTTCCATTCTGAGCTGTGGCTGAGAGCACGGTCGACGTATGCGTTAACAACACTCCTCTTGTACCTGTCAGGGCAGTCGCTGTTGGCATTTAGGCACATTCCTATGTTTGTTTCCTTTGTGTAGACTGCAGTGTGGAAACCTCCGCCCTTTTCCATGACTGTTACATCTAGAAAAGGCAGCTTCCCATCCTTTTCCGTCTCGTAAGTGAAACGCAGCACGGAACTCTGCTCAAATGCCTCCTTCAGCTCCTGCAGATTTCTGACATCAGGTACCTGTGTAAAAATGTCGTCAACATACCTGCAGTATATGGCCGGTTTCAAGTTCATGTCGACTAAGACTTTTTGCTCGATGGTACCCATGTAGAAGTTTGCAAACAGGACACCTAGGGGAGAACCCATAGCGACCCCATCTACTTGCTTATACATGTGCCCATCCGGGCTCAAGAAGGGTGCCTCTTTAGTACAAGCTTGGAGTAGTTTCCTCAGAATACTTTCTGGCATGTCAAGAGGAGTACAGGCTGGATCACGATACACTCTGTCGGCTATCATTCCGATTGTCTCGTCCACAGGTACGTTGGTGAACAGCGATTCTACGTCCAATGAGGCTCTTATCCCTGTGGCCCGTGCGCCCCGCAGTAAGTCCACAAATTCCTTTGGAGACTTCAGGCTGAAGGCGCAAGGAACATAAGGAGTCAGCAGGCCGTTGAGTCGCTTCGCCAATCTGTACGTGGGTGTGGGTATCTGGCTAATGATTGGCCGAAGTGGGTTTCCAGGCTTGTGCGTCTTGACATTTCCATACGCATATCCAGGTTTATATTCCCAATGATCTTTGGCAGGTGGAGTCCGGATTTCTTGGCGTTCACAGTTTCGATCAGTTTGTTGACCTTTGCTTTTAATTCGGCTGTAGTGTCCTTCGTTACCCTTTGGAACTTAGTTTGGCCAAGAAATCCGGACTCCACCTGCCAAAGATCATTGGGGAATATAAACCTGGATATGCGTATGGAAATGTCAAGACGCACAAGCCTGGAAACCCACTTCGGCCAATCATTAGCCAGATACCCACACCCACGTACAGATTGGCGAAGCGACTCAACGGCCTGCTGACTCCTTATGTTCCTTGCGCCTTCAGCCTGAAGTCTCCAAAGGAATTTGTGGACTTACTGCGGGGCGCACGGGCCACAGGGATAAGAGCCTCGTTGGACGTAGAATCGCTGTTTACCAACGTACCTGTGGACGAGACAATCGGAATGATAGCCGACAGAGTGTATCGTGATCCAGCCTGTACTCCTCTTGACATGCCAGAAAGTATTCTGAGGAAACTACTCCAAGCTTGTACTAAAGAGGCACCCTTCTTGAGCCCGGATGGGCACATGTATAAGCAAGTAGATGGGGTCGCTATGGGTTCTCCCCTAGGTGTCCTGTTTGCAAACTTCTACATGGGTACCATCGAGCAAAAAGTCTTAGTCGACATGAACTTGAAACCGGCCATATACTGCAGGTATGTTGACGACATTTTTACACAGGTACCTGATGTCAGAAATCTGCAGGAGCTGAAGGAGGCATTTGAGCAGAGTTCCGTGCTGCGTTTCACTTACGAGACGGAAAAGGATGGGAAGCTGCCTTTTCTAGATGTAACAGTCATGGAAAAGGGCGGAGGTTTCCACACTGCAGTCTACACAAAGGAAACAAACATAGGAATGTGCCTAAATGCCAACAGCGACTGCCCTGACAGGTACAAGAGGAGTGTTGTTAACGCATACGTCGACCGTGCTCTCAGCCACAGCTCAGAATGGAAGCAAGTCGACGAAGAACTCTGTAGGGTAAGGCAGGTTCTAGTCAATAACGGCTTCTCCAATGGTTTCATCGAAGACATCATAAGAAGGAAAGTGAAAAGCCATGCAACCTCCGAAGAGACAACTAACACAACACCTATACCCCCTATTAGACTATTTTACAGGAACTTCTTTTCCACAGCTCATAAAACAGAGGAAAGGGTCCTGAAAGATATTGTTAATAGAAACGTTATCCCTACAGACAAAAATCAGAGGATACAACTGACGATTTACTATAAAACCAGAAAAACGGCCAGCCTACTCATGAGAAACTCTCCAGACACGAAACAGAACGCTTTAAAAGAGACTAACGTCGTCTATGCCTTCAAATGCCCACTTGGGGACTGTAAGCTCCAAAAAACCCAGTATATAGGCAAGACAACAACATCTCTTTCTAGGCGTTTAACGATGCATAAACAACAGGGCTCCATTAAGGAACATATAATCTCTTCCCATAACCAAACCATCGCCAGAGAAATCCTAGTAAACAACACAGAAATCATCGATAGATACAGCGATAGCAGGCGGCTCGACGTTTGCGAGGCACTACACATCAAGAAGTCAACACCAGCAATCAACAGCCAATTATTGCACAACTATATTCTACCCACCTCAAGACTCCGCTCCAATATAGAAGCATCAAGAAATATGGACCAATAGGCTTTCTACAAACACTTCTATTCAATATCCATTGTTTCGTGTTCTGTCTTGTGTTGATACTTTTAATACCCTATTAATATCCTCTAATGCCACATCATCCTTCCCACCTTACTCAAATGTAATGCCACATCACCCTTCCCACCTCACTCAAATGTAGATATAAAATCAGGGAAACGCAAGTTCTAATCAGTTGTGTATTTGTGAAGTCTTTGAAAATGTAATAAGTTTTACGAAACGCGCCCGTGTCGCGTCAGACTAGAAATAAAAATGAATTTTGGAGAAGTGATTTTTGATTTACCTCCAACAGTGAAGCATAATGTACGAAAGATTGAGAAAATTCGTGTTAGAATTATTAATCTTACTTTTTCGGTCATATTTAATAAAATATGTCTACAGGAAAGACTGCTACCAATATATATATATATATATATATATATATATATATATATATATATATATATATATATATATATATATATATATATATATATATATCATTAAATGACTTAAAATGGCGAAAAAATTAAACATAAAATATATTATTGTCATAATAGAGATCCAAAATATATACACAATATAGACATAAATAATATATACAATATAGACATAAATAATATATATATCTAAAACTCAACTACATACTTCAAAGAAGACGACAATTATTGCGTGAGTCGAGGACTCCGAGCCGTTCAAATGAGGTCTCATTCTAACTATTGAAATAGTTCCCCCGAGATATTGAGTTCCAGACGTTACGAACCAGGAAACAGCCCAGGGAATTGACTGTCAGTGAAAGGGTGGCCCCATTTCCTCGCAGTGCTCTCGAATAGCACAGGAAGCAACTTGCCCCAAGGGAGGGTAAATCACTGAGGTAAGTTATGACCTTGTGCCCTCATATACGGTGTTTAAAATTTCGTGAGGTATTGTCCACATATTGAACGTTACAGTTCGAGCATTTATAAAGAAGTAATAACACCAGCTCTGAAGTCAAAGGGTGAAGGATATCAATGTTTGAAATAGTTTACAATGGTGTAGCTGTTTGCAAACATGAAATGAAAACTAATTTACGGATAAGAATATCATAGAATATTACAAAGTTGCTAGTAACTAAATTTCCGTATTTTGGCATTATTGGGAACCATGTATATCTAATATATAGTTGGTCCAGGTATTGAACGTTTGAAAATATTGGTCTTATAAACATCGGTAAGTCCTCCAACCTCTGGCTGGTGTTGAAGGCTCTGATGTTCAGTCATAATCAAAACAATACGAGAAGGCACATACATGAAAAGGTAGAGAAGCGAAGAGAGGAGACAAGAAGAGAGTAGGACGAAGCAGGGAAGCAAGAGGAGGGAGAAGGACATGTAGTGAGAGAAGGGATTGTAGCAGGACATGCAAGGGATGAGGAGAAGAGGGATTAGGACATGCAGGGATGAGAGACAGCAGGGAGCAAATACTGTACAGGAAATGTAGTGTGTGGAACTAGGAGACAGATCATAATAGATATATCAATATGCAGATAATGGGAAAGTGTAGACAGGTAAGATCACAGGTATATGTGACGAAGGAGATAATATTCAGGGCAGAGAAGGCCGCGGGTGTCGCAATCATACACCCCATTGTCTTAATTCATGTTGACGATCATCTTCAACACGCCCCCCGTCCCCCCCCCCCCCTACCTCCCCTTCTCCCTCTCTCTCCTATACCGTATCAAGATTCAAATACAAAACGGTGCGCGGGTGACCAGCTTTACTGATAAGCATTCACGCCAACCTTGTGGTAACCGGATACCATAATACACAATAACACGAAGGAAGGTCTTGTGGACAATGTACGCTGTTCTGCGTAGACCTTACACCGTCTCCCTGTGTGTGGGTCGAGGCCACATGATGCTATACACACTTGGGAAGCATCGCTGGAACACGGAGAAGAGGTACTAAGGGTGGTGGCCACTTCTTTGGTTTACTAATCCCGTTGCTTTTCAAAATACATAAAATCCTGGAATAAAAATATTTATTATGTGTATTTCTCCAAATTTTGTTTTCACGTAGGAAAGTCACTTATATATATATATATATATATATATATATATATATATATATATATATATATATATATATATATATATATATATATATATATATATATATATATATATATATATATATATATATATATATATATATATATATATATATAATGCATATATATATATATATATGCATAGACAGACATATCCAATATTTATTTTTATCCATATAATTTTCACATTATGTATAGCAAATTTTTATTTAATAAATACATTGTATGTACAATTGAATACACATAACCAAGGAACATAAAAATTAAAATCTATGTTGTCAAGTTGCCTCTATCACTGGATCGAAAATTTCCGCAAATTCTTAAATGATTAGCTTAGTTCAACAAACCGCAAACCTGACAGTTGCATTGTAAGTAAATACTTGACAAGCGGATCAGGGGTTCACATCGCAATGGCTCCCAGACTGTAGTTCAATAGTTCAGGAGTACAACAATTGCTGCATAAGGGAGAGAGAATATAATAAATGCTTTCTGAAAGTCCCTGATGCAGACGATGAAATGAGTGAACGGAAGAACAGAACCTTGAAGAACACCTCACTTAATTATGCCGAAGATGATCCACATAGAGCAACACGTTTATCTGAGATGAAAACAAGTGCCTGAAGAACAGAGTTGTCCTGTTCTCGTCACGAGCTTATAATATCAAGGACTAAAGGGCTTCACGGAACTTTTCCCTATGGATTGATTCAAGCAATTTTGAAATAGTAGAAGTGAGAGCAAATGTGCCACAGCTAAATTGGATTAGATAGGTCCGTTTCTCTAGATAGAGCGATTAATTGTGATTTTAAGAAGGGTGACAAAGTTAAGAAGACAGACAACGCGGAAGACGCCGGCCAGTATAGCTGGCTCATGTGGCACTGTTGTTGTTTTAGATTCAGCAACTCGGAACAAAACGATCCAAGTAGCACGGGCTATTGTGAGCCCGTAGTGGACTTACCTGGCACAGGAGCGGGGCTGTATACAGGCTCAGACACGCACTCCTTATTGCAATACGTATTTACACGTTCCGGAACAATCGAACCAATGAAACAAAACTCAAGAGAGGCTGTTGAATACATTCAGCTGTAGAATGTATTCTACACAAGCGTCAACTCACTATAAGGAAGGCGGCGCCGACGAGTAGTGCCTTAATCCGAACCTCGAGTTCCATAGGGAAGGTGATGCTGAAATTCTCAGCGTCTGTCAGGACCTCGGAACAGCATCCACGCCACAGCTTCGTTATGTTACCGACCTGATCCGAACCGTCTTCCGAGAGTATCTGAAAAGTTAGACAACCGTAACCGTATACTAGCAGGGGAAAGCGCCAAGCCATTACCGCTATATAGCACTTGGAAGGGGTGTCTTGAAGGATGAAGGTGAAAAAATCTAATTGGAATGCTTGGTTATTAAGCGGATAGCGACCTGAATCAACGTAAATATAATAACATTTTAGCTATAAAGAGAGAAATTAGAAGGAATGTCTAGAGATAACGAGTAACTAAATTTTCAAATAAAATAAAAGCCCCAACGCAATGAAGAAAAAAGATGAGCGAGAGAATAAAAGGCCATTTGGAAAGTTAGTTAAAATACATAAGTTTAAGTGTGTAGAAGATTTCCAAAGGAAACCTTAACTAAATCGGAGCCAAATCTGAACAAATTAGCCAGACATCGCACATATGAGATCCTCAAGGAGTCTTGTATTACACTCTAAGACTTCTGTAAATGTCTAATAGGACAAAAACACCCCCCTTATATTAGACCTTGTAAGAAAACGTCCCATAAATTTCGACACCAATGAATTTTTCTCCCTTTGTAGAACCTCCTACTAATCCTGGACCCCAACAAAGGGTAGTCCTCATAAAAACAGCTAAATTAGGAAAAAAACATCACAGAACTATCGCCTTACATGTAAGACAAAATAAAGGAACTATCCTCCTGGAAGACCGCAACAAAAACCTATTCCCTTCCCCTTGCAAGAACCCATCGAAACTGGCGGGAGGGTTCTTGTTGCTGACATTCCCGACCGTTCAAGTGGTTGGGCAGCATTCCTTTCCCCCGTCCCCTCCCAAATCGTAATCCTGATCCATTCCTCGCGCTATATAGTGGTAAAGGCTTAGCGCTTTCCCTTGATAATTCTTTCCCTTCCCGTCCTGGATGTCAGCAACAAGGAATCTTCCCGCCAGCAAGACATAACCAACGAACTGCCCATCTAGACGCAAACAAGGTGCTATTCCTCCCTATTGCAAGACACAAAAAGCCTGAAAGCCAAGGATCTTCCCCACCAACCAGTCCCCACCTTGAAGACAACGTCGCTCCCGCAGCTCATGGTACAGACGGGGCCCTGGATTATGAAGACGGTGTCCCCAGAGACATTCCTGACGCTGAACTTAGCAGCAATGGGAGTACAGAAGCCCCACTCCTGGTGAACGCTGCCCAACGGGGTTCCAGGCGGGCAAGACACCTCCAGGCGCTGTAGGAAATAGTGTTCAGAAAGTCAAGAGTTAATTAAATATGTAAAAACGACAGCATTTAAAGTTTTGGAACTGATATGAATTTAAAATATTTCGTGTATGCATACGTTATGCAATTTAAACTGCAACAATGAGATGAAATAATTATATGTAATAAACCTTCACATCAGTAAGAAGTCACCTAAACTCACCAAGGATTGATCTGACGATTCGTATGATCTAAGAGGAGTTAGTAAAACACACCACAGTACGAATCAACATTTTACTTAATCTAGAAATCAAAAGGCCTTCCCCCCCCCCCGAATAAAAAATTATAAGTACCCATAAAATAGCAGAGCAGCACTCAGCTTCCTTACCTGAAGACAACATGGCCAGCAGCAGTGTATACAAGTATACGGTCGAGAGAGATGGATTATCTCTTGCTCCTGGCTATTGATGAGGGCCATTTCAAAGGCTCTCATCGGACCACAACAGTTCCGGCTGCAGCAGTCTGTGTTCTCCTTCGCCTGCAGGAACTCCTGATCCATAGAGTTCTTCAACGAATATTTGTTGTTCATCTCGCATCCTAAGAATACTGGGGAAAAATATTGAACGTTTATCATCCGTAGAAAGCACCAAGTTTTCAGCTCAAAACCGAACTGGGTATTGATCCTTTTAAATGGCAGCGCTCAGCAAAAGAGGAATGGGGAATGGGCAGGGAAAACGTGATAGGGGATTCAATGGGGGGTTATAGATGGGGGGGGGGATGTTCATAAGATGAAGGGCCAAGAGGTACATGGATGAGTGGCAGGAGGTTTCGTTTTTGGTTGGGAGAGTGAGATGAATTTGATAGTAAATTGAGAAAGTAGTTGGAATGCTGGTCCGGTGAAAGTTGCTTTCACTGGCAACGAGTTGCAGACAAAAAATGGACACGGAAGACGGGTGTGTAATCATTATCTAACTCACAGTATTCTGATTCTCCCGGAAGTTGCCATGTCCAGGCAGGTGGCACCAGGCAAGTCCCTAGCCTGAGTGCAGCTCCTCTTTCTGCTTCAATCGTACAAATATACAATTTATGGCATTAAATTCCCCATAGTTGACAAAAAATTTCAACAGGAACTCTAAGGGGCTAAAAATACCAGTAGGGGGCTCCAAGGACGCCACAACCACCAGGAGAGGCTCTAAGGACGCCACAACCACCAGGAGAGGCTCTAAGGACGCCACAACCACCAGGAGAGGCTCTAAGGACGCCACAACCACCAGGAGAGGCTCTAAGGACGCCACAACCACCAGGAGAGGCTCTAAGGACGCCCACAACCACCAGGAGAGGCTCTAAGGACGCCACAACCACCAGGAGAGACTCCAAGGACGCCACAACCACCAGGAGAGGCTCCAAGGACGCCACAACCACCAGGAGAGGCTCTAAGGACGCCACAACCACCAGGAGAGGCTCTAAGGACGCCACAACCACCAGGAGAGGCTCTAAGGACGCCACAACCACCAGGAGAGGCTCTAAGGACGCCACAACCACCAGGAGAGGCTCTAAGGACGCCACAACCACCAGGAGAGACTCCAAGGACGCCACAACCACCAGGAGAGACTCCAAGGACGCCACAACCACCAGGAGAGGCTCCAAGGACCCCTCATACACCAGGATAAACTTTAAGGACGTCACAAACACCAGGAAGGTTCTCCAGGGACGCAATATACAACAGTAAGTGCAGAGAATGCTCCAACCAGACCCCACCAGGGCCTCAAAGAGCGCCATAAACACACGCACCAGGAGGAACTTACCTTCAAGAAATTCAATGTGTTGCTTCACCAAGACCTTGTCGAGCTGAGCCAGGTCCTCCAACCCCGGGGGCACCATGTACGCCATCTCTTCCTCAGCGTTGCGCTGATGCCTCTACCAGCACCAATAACCTGTAGCGGCTAAAACACAAGAGAGTGAGATAATGGAATCATAATATTTAGAATTATTCGTCCCTTGTCTACATTCTGTTGCTGAGGGAGTAAAGGGAAACCGATGGGAAAATAAAGTGGGAGAAGTGGAAAGAAAAAGGTGAGGATGAGTAGAAGGAGATTTAGGTTTCTCAACAGGTGCTTCAGGGTCTTAAAGGCAGGCTTATGATACTGAATTGACCTTCAAAAGAGGCGGTTAAATTGGATGGGACAGAGAGAGAGCCTCCTGGCACATATTGATCTTATGACTTATCTCTTTTAAAAGGACTTTATGTAGTTTTTTTATTTGGCCAAAAGTGTGAGTGTTGGATATACTACTAAAGCAATGAGTTGCCGATCCAATAACGCTGATTGAGTGGGGTTTATATCCTGTATAAGATATTGTTATTTGTGGGATGTGCTTTTATTGTCTCTAAATCAAGCTTTTGTGTTAGTAGTAAAATATACTACTGTTTGTGCTAGTAGTAAAAAATACTACTGTTTGTGTTAGTATTAAAATTATAAGATCATAGATTAATTATTTTCCAAAACTTGGCTAAAACACAGTCTGGTTCAAGAGCTCTGCAGACATCTGCCTTATTCGTGATATGTTGTAGTAAGACGAACAGGAATGATCAGTAGGAGACAACATAGGGGAGAGCGACTCTTCGTAGTTTGTTACATTGTCAGCAAAACGTGCACACCCAAGCCACACACATCTGATATTAACAACCCGCCCTCAGGCAATGTTCATTCCATCCAGCGACCAACCCCAAAGATACCTTCATCGTGTTTAACATGCTGTCCTTTTATAACATGAATTTTATCAAAATTTAATTATTATTATAAGAGAACCACAAAACGAGGCGGCTATTTTGTACATAGTAAGGCTTAGGTAAAGTGATAAGGTTCTGTTTGCAGTTATTTGTATTTGTAGTACATGGGTGAAGCATTTACACAGAGGATGAAGCACTGTTCGAGAAATAGTCTGAACGCTAAAAAGTTTTACGTCATGCAACCCGTCTTCTTCAACAAAGGCTAAATGCTCGATACCTCGAGCATTTAGCCTGGTGGATAGCCTCGTAGCCTGGTGGATAGCGCGCAGAACTCGTAATTCTGTGGTGCGGGTTCGATTCCCGCACGAGGCAGAAACAAATGGGCAAAAGTTTCTTTCACCCTGAATGCCCCTGTTACCTAGCAGTAAATAGGTACCTGGGAGTTAGTCAGCTGTCACGGGCTGCTTCCTGGGGGTGGAGGCCTGGTCGAGGACCGGGCCGCGGGGACACTAAAAAGCCCCGAAATCATCTCAAGATAACCTCAAGATAAGATACCAGTTTTGGAGGCTGCGAGGAATGAACATTTGGCCTTTGTTGATAAGGACGGGCTGGAAAATAAAGGATGTTATGACGTTTAGATCCGCATGGACATAGTACAGCAAAACGTTCTGTTTTTCTCCATATCGCAAGTACCTTACAGGACCATCTGGTCTGCCATGTGTTATTATACAGCTGTCATTTGATAGTCCATACGACTCTTACATTAGCCACCAGAGTAATATTTCCAGACGACCTACCTTAGAATTTATTCCTCAATTTTGGAGGTCCGGAATTGGGTGATTTGGTTACAGTTCAAGTTCAAATTCCTCAAGTCCACCTTATCACCTGATAGTCTCTAATTTCTGCACTTGACTCGTACGGTTTCTCGAACTGTTATTAGGGGGGAGGATCAAGTTCAGGTTGATTCGTCTCCTTAAGACTAATTCAAGGACTTTTCTGATCCGGTGTTGTTGTACACGGACACAGAGCAGACAAAACTCTACGCCAGGAGCGTTACTGAGGTGTATTGACCGCTGGAAGACTGCTCTAGTCGGTCGGTGGTGGTGGTGTTTGTGGTAACGCCGACGATGACGTAGTCGATGTCCCAGACAACAGCCACGACGACATGAATGACAACGACGTGCGTGTGTGTGTTTGCCACTCTATACAGTGACGAACAGTACGTTAGAAAATAGTTATACTATTCTGAAACAAAGGTTTAAGTAATGATCCACATTTGGTACATGGCTACAGTGACATAACTAAGGTACAAGTGCACAGTGACTACACCTAGAGAACCCAAATAAGGCTTTACAGTGCAGCAACCCCCACGGAAGGCGCCAGAGGTTACACCTAGAGGTGCCAAGGCAGCCACAGAACACACACACTGAGTACACCCAATAATCGATCAACCAGTCATGACCTCCACTGCCTCTACCTGACACCTCTGATATCATAGCTACCAACCCTTCCCCTCAACCCGCCCCCCCCCTCAACCCGTCCCCTCAACCCGTCCCCTCAACTCGTCCCCCTCAACCCGCCTCTCAACACGTCCCCTCAAGTTACGCGATGTTATGGTAACGAACATACCAAATGTAACATGTTGTGAAAAATATCAACTAGCAAATATCCTCGTTTTGTATGTTACAGTTAGGTTAGGTTGCTGAATTGGGTTCATGCGTTTCAAGTTAGATTAGGACGGGGGATTTTGTACGTTGCGGCATATTCAGATAACGGGCTAGAGTAAGGTTTACGGCCTGAGTAGAGTAGGTACACTACGTCATCACTATCCATTAAATAAGTTAACCTAACTAAACCCAACCAAACATTAGCTAACCTAACCTAACCTAATCAAGCCTAACCCAGCCTAACCTAGATCATATCCAATATTAGATTAATTGAACGTAACCCAACCCAATCCAAGCTAGTCCTAACCTAACTTATCCCATCCTATCCTGACGGAATTGAATCTTGCGGGAAAAAACAGATAAGATTTTGTGATATAGTGGTCTGGACGTGGTGTGTGACGTCACTGTGACGTCATATGGTGTAGACGTGGTGTGTGACGTCACTGTGACGTCATATGGTGTAGAAGTGGTATGTGACGTCACTGTGACGTCATATGGTGTAGACGTGGTATGTGACGTCACTGTGACGTCATAACACTCAGGCCGATACATTATTTAGACCCAAAACATCGATAGACCATAACTATCGTGGCTCAGTGACGTGTTGCTCACTCATTCGGTTCAACGCCCCGGGATCTGGTTAGTAACCGGTTGGGTGACGGCGTCGACAGGAACCAATGTTTCTTTTCACTAAATGTTGTTCCCGTGTTCTTCTCCTGGGGGTGTTGTTCAGTTGTGGTTGTATTTTCGGCGTTGTTCCCTGTTCTTCTTATAACTGGTGTTGTCCCCCTGTTCTCCTGCCGGTGTGGTTCCCTTTGTTCTTCTCCTTTTGGCGCTGTTCCCCCTGCTTTTTTCCAGTCAGTGTTGGTTTTCTTGTTCTCCCTTTGTTGGTGTGAGCCCCTTGTTCTTCAATTTAAGGGTGAGTCCCTTGTTCTTCAGTTCAAGGTGTGAGCCCCTTGTTCTTCAATTTAAGGTGTGACCCCTTGTTCTTCAATTCAAGGTATGAGCCCCTTGTTCTTCAATTCAAAGTGTGAACCCCTTGTTCTTCAATTCAAGATGCTATCCCCTTTTCTTCATTTGTGATTGAAGTCCTCCTAAATCTTTCCTCTGGATGTTGTCTTCATCTTGCATCTCTTCATACCCAGCAAAAATATCAACACCTCCTTGATATTTCTCTGAACACATTATGACTCAATGTTGGCCGCAACTTTCTTTCCACTTTCCCTCCCTGTCACCCTCGTTTCCCTTTCTACTTTCACACCTTGTCTCTCCTTCTTTCCCCTCTCTCTCTTCCCCTCTCTCTCTTCCCCTCTCACCCTTATCTGCTGGGGTTTAGCATAAGGATCAAAGTGATGCACTGAGAGCAGACAGCTTATCAACAAGTGGTCGTCTGAAGTCGACATTCATGCTATTACTTTAAATTAGCAATATATATATATATATCTCCATATTCCCCATTGTAGAATGTACAAATGAGGATAAAGATATAATGATGTATACCGATCTTACGGCTGTTGATCTATACCAGTGAGTAGTTATCCTACGTAGACTCGTTCTGGTGCATCTTCAAGAAAAGCTAGTGTGTGAGCTTAGCAATGGGCGGGTCCCAGTCCGTGACAAGGTGGGGACAGGGCGTTTTTGGTCGTGGCGGGGACATACGGTGTTCTATAGGCACAGGAGGTTCTATAGTTCTATTGGCAATTATAGAGACTCTTGTTTAAACATTTAGGTATGTATAACTTAAATGTAGTTATACATAATGTATATTTAATGTATTATATTAAATGTTATAGTTATAGTAGTTATAATAAATGTATAATTTAACTTAAAAGGCATATCATTGTTCGTGGGTTAAGGCGGATGTCTGGGTACACTTAGAATACAGGTTCGATCCTCCCCTTCCTACTTCAGAGATTTTCTCATGGATATTTCGCGTCATTGTAATTATATTATATATATATATATATATATATATATATATATATATATATATATATATATATATATATATATATATATATATATATATATATATATATATATATATATATATATATATATATATATATTTATTTTGACTTGGCAAAAGACAGGAAATCAATGAATTCGTAAACAACGTTGACCTTTAATCGAAGGTCATTGTCCTTGTAGTACAACATGAGATGTTAAACTAACCTTTGGACTATATATACCTCAAACATATATGTAAACTTAACAGCCTTTTCTCACGCCTGACAGTGCCACACTAAGTGACTAAGTGAATCTAAGTGCCACACTGTGAATATATCGACCAGAGCGTCAAAATTGTTGTGCTTTTGAGAAATTATAATCAAAACAATATTAAAACTCTTTACAACTAGAGAAAATAAGTCTTGCTGACTTAGGTGGCTCTGTCTAAATTCGTACGCTTATCTTTAAAGAAAAACCACTTCATATTTAACGCTTGAACTGGCTGAACGTGCAGGGTATATATATTTTTTTAAACTTTGACAAACCTTGGATCAGGATTCATCAATTATTTACGTGTATACTTACGAAACCCTTACATCTTTCCTCAATCATGAAGACTTTGTATCTATATATCAGCTTGTGATATTCGAAACTTCAGAACCCAGAATTATGACTCGTAATAGACCACCTGGCAGCGCCTCGGAGCTCATAAACTATTTAATAAATAAAAACTAAGCCACCATGATTGATGAAAGATGTACAGGTTCCGTAAAAGTATTATATCAATACTTGCTAAATTCTGCTCCATGTAAATAATTCATATATATATGAATGACTGTCATGCTGTTCTCTCTTTTCTTAGGAGTAGCGTGATCGAGAATAAGGACCCTCGTTCCGTTACTCTAGAGACACAGGTAAACAGAACCCGTTTGGGGTCTTCTTCATGTATCGATCCCCATATTTTTATTATAAATGCCTTTCACGTGGATTACTAAAATCTTAGTAATGAATCTTTTCTAAATCTTACTAATGACTAAAATCTTACTAAAAATCTTACTAAAATCTTAGTATGCTATATTTTCTCTTTTGTTTCTTACACATTCTCTTGCATACTATTTTGATTTGAGGAGCATGTCTATCTGTTGACAGTGGTCAACTTTCATTAATAATAAAGCTCTCACACTTGAGTAAATATTAATGACGGAGGCAATTTGTAAAAGTTGCTATTACCACCTGTTGCTGAATCTTTATCTATTAAATTGATCTATCAGTATTATCTATCTGTCCAACTGTCCTTCTGCACCTGTCTTTCTGTCCAAGCATAAACCAGTGAAGAATGTCAGGGACATAGAACAGTCGGTGACATCCCAAATGCCACTCTTTAAAATATATTGGCATCTATGGCAGCCCACGCTTTGTGACGTTCGTAGTGAAATGAAATCGCGGATGGGTTTTCCGTAGAGTTTTGATACTAACACGTCCCCCCCCCCTCCCCGACGTTTACAAAGATAGTTTCATGTTTTACTCGAAAACGATGAACGTGAATTCATTCCCGGTACATTATTCCCTTTTCTGAGACGGAGTGGGAGAGAGACACAAAGACAGAGAGAGAGAAGGAGAAGGAGGGTAGAGAGGAAGAAAGGGAAGGAGAGGACGGACAGGGAGACAGTGAGGGTAAAGGCAGGAGAAACAGGGGTTGTAGATTGGGCAAAAGGGGGAAATAGGACAATAAAGGAATGAATGGAGAAGAGTGAAAGGAGAGGTGAGAGAGAAGGAAGGGAGAGGACTAGTTGGGGAGAGACAGAGAGAGCAGAGAAATGAAGAGAGTGGGAATTCAAAGAGAGAAATAGGGACAAGGGAGAGAGACGCGGGCACGGTCGTTACCCCCCTTCCAGTACTCTATAGATAAAAACTTTTTGCTCAGAATTATACAAATAAATCAAGTGGGAAAACAGAGGCGCAGTGTAGTGGGCCAGTTACGCTATGCTAGCTCGATACTTTTTACATCCAACAATTTTCACTCAAAGAATCATGAAAAAGGTATACAGTATACACTAAGAGAAGTACCCCGCTTCTGAGTGTATTTTCACTGAGTATACACTATTCGTGAGTAAAAATCTGGAGTATAATATTTTGCTTGGCAGGTCATTAAACTAGTGACTGTAACTCATCGATCAATATCATGGAGACCGGTGTTTTGTACGGGAAATTGAGTCCTTGTGTATTAATGTGTCGTAGCGAGTATGTATAAGAGTGTCGGTCTGGCAGGAGGCCAGATATTGTGATCACCTCTGCCTGATGTCACTTCTGGGGTGTGAGTTTTCAGTTGCATATAGTCCTGGGGACCATTCAGGCTTGTTCGCATTTGTGTTCCTCACGTGTGCCCCAAAGAATGAGGTATTTCGATAAAATACCATGCCCAAGATTACCAACCGAGTACCACGGGCGGGGGGGAAATAGCCTCGGCTACCATTTGTCCGGTCGTGTTGGTCGAGCGGTTAAGGGATCCTGTACTCCAGCAGAGTGCTCCTGGTAGTATGGGTTCGAGTCACTTCTGGGGTGTGAGTTTTCAGTTATATATATATATATATATATATATATATATATATATATATATATATATATATATATATATATATATATATATATATATATATATGTCTCGGGCAAAACACATGCCAGAGACAGTTATGTATTAGTAAAAATATTATATATATATATTTCCTGTAATCAATTTACCTCAATACCATGTTCTTTTGTATATTTGATCAATAAAATTATT